CCCCCCCTCCTCTTTTTGTGGTTGAGCTACTTTTGCAAGGGAGTGCATGTGCCCTTTGGGCAGAGGAGGTACATCCAGATGAGCATGCCTATGCAGGGATGTGTGTTTCTTGCAGCACAGAAAGCAGCAGAACAAAGATGTGTCGCTGCTTTTTTTTCCCAGGGCATGCCCCTGAGTGTGTGCTCTGTGCAGCAAATTGACCCAGGTGGGGTAAGGGATGCTGGAGCCACTACCTGTGTTGGCCCCAGCAGCCTTATCTGGGGACCTCCTGGGCAGCGGCAGTGCCATTCTGGCTGCCTGGAACCTGGCCAGCAGCCAGAACATGGCAGTGGCTGGCCAGGCTCTGTTTCTGGTGGTACACGCTGCTGCCGCCTGTGCCACCACTTTTTGTGGCCTTTGTTTTTGACGCTGGGATCTCCCAGTGTCAAATTTTGGTGCTGTGCTGCAAGTTAGCAATGCAACGAACAGGTGCACGTGTGCCTGGTGCAATTTGTAGTGCCCTAAACAGCATGTGTGCGCTCGTCTGAATGAGCCCTCATTGTCTGGTGAGTGTGGAAGGTGAGAAGAGAAGCTGGGGACTTTGCCACCTATGCACAGTGCTGCAAGTCCAGTGTCGTGCAGGGAATTGCCTGTTCTTTTATCTGCATGGGATGCAGGATGGAGTTAGGTCCTCCCACTGGACTACTTTGGTATCCTCCAAGTGTGATGGCAAGGACATCACGATGCCATTGCACAATGAAGAATGGATTAAAATCTCTTAAAGTGAAAAATCAGTGTCTTGCACTGGGAGGCATTAAAGAGTCAATCCTGCAAATCCTCACACCACCTGGTTGTAATTCTGTCTGTCCTATGGCTCTTCCAGCTCACCCCTGTGGTAGTGGCGTTTGCTTCTGTAATTCTGCATGCACCAAAACATGTGCGATCCTCCACTGTTTGGTGCTACATCGGTGTGCATCTTAATTTCCTGTCACTCGTGTGATGTACACTCCTCCAAGGGGCTTCAACCTCATAAGAAGATACAGTGGAGTCCAGGCAGGGCTGGGTGGGGGGAACTGTGTGCTTCCCTGCTCACCTTTTTTTTTTCTGGCCTGCTGTCTTCTGGCATCCTTTATTCCCTACTCCATAATCCCCCAATGCTGGCTGTACTGGAGGTGCACGTTGGAAGCTGCCACTAGCTGTTTAAAAGACATGCTAAGTGCCGTGGAATCTGACTCTTCTTCTCTGTCCCACTCCCCGAGGCTCTCTGAGGCTGTCATGAATTGTCAATACTGGGAGCCAGTTACTAATGAACTCAAGTTTCCCACTTACTATCAGTTGTCTTAAATTATTTCTGCACTTCAGAGTCCTGTTTCTGACATCCTTTCAAAATGTAATAAGGGAGGCTAAGTCTGACTTTGTAGAAGTCTGAGCCGCTGCAGCCTGCGTTCAGTAAACTCTTACCCTCGGACTGTGTTCTTAGCTCTTCTTAGCCATTAATCTAGCTGAAAATGTTCCTTCTGACTTTTCTCACTTTATAATGCAAACCCTCATTATCTTTGCAACACAAAAGTGTAACATACCCAGCATGGGCTTTTCCTTTCAGTCTGGAAGGAAGATTAGCGTCGAGATATGTGCACGCCAGACTGCTTCTATTCCTAAGAAAAGTGGGACCCCAAAATTGATTACTATTGGTAACTTAATTTACCGCAAACTGACGAGCCCCAAAGAGAAACCCACTTCAAAAGCTTTGGTTTTTACAAAGGATATGTTTTAGCTATATTTCAGTGGTCTAGGGTTTCAGCCACTTTCTTTGATACAGATTTGTGTGAAAGCAGTTAAGTTAGACAGAAGGAAATGATAAAATCTAAGAATTAAGGTTTAGGATGAGACGGGCAGCGAGCAGCATGAAATTGAAAGATGTTCACCTCTAACAAGCATTCCCATAAACAGGCCCAATTCCTCACCTCATTACAGGTTGTCATTGTTTGATCTGTTTAACGAGAGGGGCTGGGCGGCTAATAGAAAATCTGGCTACTATGGTAGGACGCGTTTTATTTTTAGGCGGCGATTGCCTGCGAATCGCCAACATTAGGAAAAACTTCTTAGCTCACGTTGTCCTCTGAATTTCTTTAATTTATTTTTAAAGTGGAAATTTTGCAAGCTGACGTTCATGCAGCCTGCGTCGTACAGTTTGGCTGACAGCATTGTCTGGCAAAAGAAATAACCAAATTATTATTCAGTCATGGGTTTTTAACAGCCGCAAAGCAAGTGGATGTTAACTAAATGATGCAATTTATTCCCTTCCTGCTTATTGCCAGCTTGCCTATTACAGAGAGGCTGCCAGCTTTAAATAAGTGGTACCCAGATGGTAGTCGCATGACGCCCACTTGGTTACAGAACCTAAGCAGGGAATAACTCGGCAGCCACTACAAGCCGTGGGTCAATTGAGGGGGAATGCCTGTTGCTTCACAGTTTTGCATATGTAAATCTGTTAATGTTATGTCAGTATTGTGCGGACTAAACACAAGCATTGCCTTTCTCTGGGGCCCAGATGAACTTGGATTGGAGCCCAGTTAATGAGGATCTAAGAGAGAGGCTTCAGTTGGAGAATGCTGCCACAGTTTGCTTCCTCCGTGTGAACTCATTGCTTCCTGGATGCTCTCATTTTCTCCACAGCTGAAGTTGTGCTCAGGAAGTCCCTCCGATAGGCTGCCTCCATAATAGGATAGACAGACAAGGTTTTATAAGGTTGGCCGAAGAGATTGTATAAGTGTGAGTGTGCGTCTATTTTTAGTCCCGGCGTTGAAGACAATTCATTTGGCCCAGCCTGCGTCTGCTTCTCTCACACTTTCTTTCTCTGTCTGCCACACTTCTGCACTCTATTTCATCAACTACAGATGTGGCACACAGCCGTCTCCGAAAAGTCATGAACTGTGTCGTCTGCACAGTTTAACAGCCAACATCTGCTGCAGCAGCCTGATGGAAACGGCATGGAAACAATTTTAAGGAAAGCGCTAAAGTGCTTTAACTCTGTCTCTCTTTTGGCCCCCACAGACAATTATTTTATATTAATTGCAACGGGATCACAGCTATAAAAGCAGGGTTTGAATCTGATTCGCTTTTTATTATTAGTTTAAAAGTTGCAGTTAAAACTGTTTGACATGGGAATGCTTTTTATCGTTGATCATGCCTTGTTCTGAAAAGTTTATTACAATGGGTGAAAACAACAACCGAAAAAACTCATAAAAGGCCGGGGCCATAATACACTTAAAGGCTAAAAAGTACCAATAGTGTTGATTTAACCAAAGAAAATGTTCCTGGAGGTATTGTAAATTTTATGTGCCAGATGAAAAGCATTAAGTGTGTTATTTTTCATGAAGGAAAACATTCAGATTTTAACCATTTTGTAAATTATATTAATGCTGCATTACTGTGCCAAAAGCTTTGGGTCTGTTCCCACAGCCTCTTGCTCCTGTGAGTAGGCCCCTTTAGGTTTGCTCTCGTCGGGGCTAAGGGGAGAAGGAGGCTCCCAAGACCGGCCATTTGGCTGCATAATTCTGCGTGAGCACGGCCGATCATCTTACCTCTCTGTATTGTGAGCTGGTGTGAATATACTGTACTCTGACAACTCTGCATTCAGGAGTCCAGCGTTTTCACCACAGTTCCCCGTAGCTTTCTTTAAAAGGTATAAGCCATATGCATAATTTTATTAAATATTATAAATGACAAAAATTGAGAGATTTGTAATATGAAAGTGATTTTGGGTTCCTTCAGTTTATTAATTCTCTCTGACGCTGAAAGACAGCTTTGAAATTTTTTGTTTAAATCCCCTGATTTTTTTTTTTTTTTTTTTTTTTCCCCTTTTTCTTTTTTGGTTAATAGGAATTTTTTAAATTTAATATTCTCTGACTACAGTATTTCGGTGACATTTGCTGCTATGGGTAGGGCAGATTCAGTATATGATGGGCTGCTCTCATTTCAGATGGCTAGGCTTTGTTCTCTGCCTCCAGATGGAACTCTGCAGATTGTTTTTTATCTCTTATCCCTTGCACTGTAACCTGATCTCCAATATCGCTAGACATCTATCTAAAATTTACAGTGCAGAAACCAACTCAAGGTTCAGAATATGGACCTGAAAGAAAAGACAGCAGGTTTAAAATAAAGGACCCCAAAGCATGTTAGGAACTTTACAAAAGGTTTTATTACTCGGGAGAGTCCCATCAGTCATTGCACTGCTTGGGCTTTGATGGTAATTTGTCCAGTGTTTCAGTGTATTTTAAATTTCAGTTTCTTAACAATGAAAAAAACCCAACCTGTAGCAAAATGCTAATATAAGCAAGCTAAATCAAGCCATGCATCAGTTTATACATGATATCTCAGTTTCTCATATGAATAGAGCAGTAGAGATTGTCATCCCAAAACTGTAATCAAGCTAGGAACATATTGTGATAACAAACATGTTTATTAATGCGACATAGGACTAGATCCAAATAGATGTCAAAGCTAATTGGAATTGTATTGACTCTTTTTTAATATTTTTGAAGATATCTTTCTTGGTAATGGAAATGTCAGATGTCATGTGCATGCCCATACTGCAGAGAGGTGCTTCACTGAAAGCTTCCATTGCTATCCTCTGTGCTTTACAGGAAGGTTTGGCTATTTTTTTTTTCATACTTTGTTTCACTTCCGCTTCCTCCTAGCAAGATTTCATTCAAACCTCCAAATGCAGATAAAGAAAATATTATGAAATATTCTGAGAAAAATGGATGGACAAGCAATCATTATTGAAGAATGCAGCTGCAAGATTATGTAAATAATAATTCAAATGGATTATGTAAATAATAATTAAAATGCCGCTACTTTGTCTTTAGTATGCCCCGTACAGTATTTTTATGCTCTGTATACCATCCCCCTAAATAATATTAGGAACCAATTGCAACTGTTTGCTTAAAAAATCATAATCACATTTGATACCTTGACCACTGGAACTCATAGCAGGTATTTTCATAGACTGCCTTGAAAAATAATATTGCTTTTGATGAATTATAAACCCCTTGGAACTACTTTTTCTTTTCTTTGTTTGTTTCCCCTGCTCTTCTCCAGATATAATAATCCTCCTCCTCCTCCTCCTCATCATACCTCTTTTCCACCCCCCCACCCCTGGCCGAAAATGAAATAAACAGTTCTTAGGGTTTTATTTTTTAAATGTGGGCAAAGTATAGCTGTCTTTTTTTTTTTTTTTCTCCTTTTTCTTGAATGCTAGTAGCATCCAATATTGATCTGGAGACTAGAACACTGGACTGAAAGGCTGAAGTTCCTGGTTTTATTTCTTGATCTGTAACTAACTTTTAAAAATCCTGTAACTTCTGTATGCCTATGTATATAAAATGAACCTTTATTTAATGGGGTGTTGGAAAACTTTTAAATGATATTTGTAAAATGTGTGGAGATAATCTGATAGAAGCTGCTGCAGAAAAATAAAGAATTAAAGTTTTATTGATCGTTGCCCCCCCCCCCCCTTTTTTTTTTTTTTTAAGATGAGTTTTCTCCCCTCCTTCCCCGTTTCCCTTTCCTCAGACTGAAGTATCTTTGATGTTGGCACAACCTTGGGGATATGGGTTTGTCTTTCACTGATGTTTTTGGTTGCTTTGACAGTTGTTTTCATGGAGAAACAGCATCTGTGCTCCAGTCACCATTAGCAGCAGGTTTACGAATAAAATGCAGAACATTCATTATCAGTTTATACCAGTTTTGTTAAAGGTCCAGTCTTACTCTGCAATACTCATACCAGTAGAAGTATATGTGCTTGGCTTTTTTTAATTTCTTTTTGTACCGGAGTACATCTGTCGGTGGACCACTAAAAGCCCCTGATAGCACAGGGAACCTGTCAAACCCATCTCTGTATTGGGCATAGAAGTAAAAGCAGATGTAAACCTTCTTTTCTGGTAAGGGGAGCAGGGTTTGCTCTTTCAAATGAAAGTAGTTCCAGAAAATAAAATGCACGTGAGTGTTCCAGAACGGACAAGAGTGCATAAAAATCCTTTTAGTCATTTATCGCTTCGGGCCCACTCTTAACAATAGGAACCTGCAGTGGTAGGAGGTGCTCACTGTAGAGCCACGATCAAGGGAACTTGATTGGTCCTGTCCTGAGAGAGATTTAAGCAGCCTCTGGTGAGAAGATGAAACAAAGTAGTAAAACTGATAGTTCATGCAGGAAATTGCCTTGGGAGCTCAAGCAGGTGGCTGGAAGGGGAGAGGAGAATTTCTCATTGTACATCGGGGCCAGGATTTTCAGAGGTGACTGTAAATCCCATTGATGCCCATCTTGAGCTCTCCTTCAAGAGGCCTGATTTTTTTTTATTTTTTATTTTTTTGGAAAATGTGGAATACCCAGCATCTGAAAGCTGGGAGCTTTAACACTGTCACAGGTTGGGCATCAGGTCCGGCCACTGAAATTCAGTAGTTACTTTCTGCAGATCCTGACCTGGGCCTTGGCATGGCTAGAACTCTTCATCTTCCATAGGCCTTAACAAGAACTATCAGGATGCGTTCGCGCGCCATCAGTGTTAGTCCCCTCCTGGCACGTGGTGAAACAGAGGAATGCAGGCATGAAATCACTTGCCAAAGGCTACAGAAGGGGAAGTCGTGTTAGAACCAGGAAAGGAATTTAAGAATTCCTTTCTTCTAGTCCCACATTCGTTGCAAGGTCCAAACAAAGCAAATAGTGTTGATGTACTGGCGGGACTGCCAGTCGTCCATACAATAAATTGTATGTAAAAAAAACCCTTCGGTCAGTAAAATTGCTTTCTTGTAGCAGCAGGATTAGAAACGGCTTTCAGCACAGCATTTTTGACTCCTTTTACACCTTCATGTAACACCTCCGGTATTCCCAGTTGTTTGGCTTCTTGGTTTCGTTCCTTGTGAAATTTACAGCTTCACCCGGAAAAGCTGGGAAATGGTTCAGCCGGCTCGGAGACGGCCAGGCCAGAGACTGGTAGTTGCAAGGTTAGATAAGCTTCCTACCATACTTCTCCAGTTTTTGCTTTATGGGTTCTGAGAAAAAGTAGTAGAAAGAATCGCATCTGGAAGGGGGGGAAAAAAAAAGGGCAGAGTGGGTCGAGTGGCTCCAGCAGTGAGTCTGGGCTCTAATCTTTTCCTCTGCCAGTAAACTGTTGTGTGACCCAGGGCAAGTCGCTTGATCTCTCCGTTCTGCTTTTCCCTTCAACCCTCTGCTGCCTTGTCTGTTTAGATTGTCCCTTACAGTGGTTTGTCACCTCAAATCTGAAGAGAGGCCAACTTTGAGTGCCTGGTAGCTCGAAAGGAGGGTGAGTACTAGCATTTTTGCTCGGGTTGGGAGCCTCCTGATGCCAGCAGTTCAACATCCTGGGAAATGCACAGAAGATTTGTGATCGAGGCCAAGTCTGGAGCAGCCTAGCTGTCCCCTCTAGGATAGGGACTACAGTCAGCTGGTAGGCTTCATTAACCAAACAGTTTGGAAGCTGTATTACCTGTCTGTATTGAGTAATAGGTGTGTTGTTTTGCTTCTTGAACGCGTCTCCGTTGTGACCTGTGGTCTCGTCCAGCACTTTGGAATGAGCACAGCCAGCAGGCTAAAAGGGCAGAGGAGTTCAGGTATGGCTTGAGTTATGCTGCCTTCATCCTTGCCTCTCCTTTTCACACGAGTCAGCTTAGAGTTAAGACCGTGTTATTTGAGAGGTAGCCTAGGTTCGAATAGTGCAATAGCAAGAATATCAGAACTGTCCTGTGATCCTAACCTTCAGAGAAAATGAGGGTGGGGAGGAACCTCAGGAGGTCACATCTAGTCCAACCCCCTGCTCAAAGTGGGACCAGCCTCAACTACATCATCCCAGCCAAGGATTCATCTAGCTGGGTCTTGAAAACCTCCAAGGATGGAGCTTCCACCACCTCTCTGGGTAACCTGTTTCTGTGTTTTACTACCCTGCCAGCGAGAGAGTTTTTCCTAATATCTAACCTAAGCTTCCTGTGCTGCAACTTGAGCCCATTGCTCCTTGTTCTGTCATTTGCCACCTCCAAGAACAGTCCAGCTCCATGCTCATGGGAACCGCCCTTCCTCCCACATCTCCCCAAAGAGAATGAACTTGTTGAAATTCCAAATTGTTACTGAATCCAAGCAGCAGGGTTTGGAATTTGGGTCTGGTGTGTGCTGGCATGTCCTGGATCTTGCATACAATCCCACATATTGAAGCCTAGTACACATGGGACTGCTAAGCCATTGATGTAATTAGGAACTGAACATGGCATTGAGGAACTGACCTGAGCAGAGAGAGAGCTCTGCAGATACCTGTGGAATTGCAGTGGGGGAGACCACTCTCACTCTGGTTGCAACCAATCTGACAGATAGTTAACTGGATAGCGGGAGTATATTAGTTAAGAGTACAGCTATGAACCCCACTGGCAGCCTAATTGGATGCAGGACAGATGCTGAAAAAAAAAGAGAGATCTGCAGGCTGGACAAGCATTCTCCTGGATTCTTACTGGCAACTTTATTTGCTTTCTGAGCTGATGTCTGGGTTGAGAGGGGCCTTGACATTGTTGGAGCTGAAGCTGGAGGGAAGCCCTCCTTTGTGCCTTATTTGGTCTGGCAGAGAATCACATTTCTTATAAAAAGTTGCCCGTTGTTCCCTTCTGCAAATATACACCTTTCTTGCTTTCATTTAACTTTCCTGCTTGGGAATTCACTGCCCCAGCCTAGCACTTGAATGGGAAACCCATTGTACCCCTTTCTTTCGTGTTCAAACTGCTGCCATGCTGATAAGCATCTACAGTAAAGCCACAACATGCTTTCCTTTGCTTGGATCAGCTCTTGCACTTTCATCCAGGTTAGGGCAGGGGCTTGTCTGTTGGCAGTGCCCCCTTGTTTGGAGCTGCAAGACCGTGCTGATTCCACCCCGGAAGTCGGGGCATGTAGGTCTTACTTACTTTGATTCAAAACGAAAACAGGGTTTGCCTGTGTCTGAATCGGAAGGAAATGAGATGGGAGTTCCTGCAGGAAAGCCCCCTTTAAACGGCTTGCTTGAGTGAGCGCAGATTAAATTGTTTGTTTATCTCAGAATAACAAACATAGGAGAACTCTAGGCAGGGACTGAGTTTTAGTCCCGGGAGCTAATAGATGAACCTTCCCTGTCCATCTGCCACACCCCTTGCCCCTCCATCCTCCCCCTTTTTATTTTTTAATCTTGGATTCTAATAAAAAACGAAGTCATCGAGTATCCATTGAGAACTGTGCACCTTGCCTTCTCCATGGAGACTTCTTTCCTGGATTTGCACTGGTCTAGGAAGTGGGAAGTCACATTTGCAATCCTGCAGGGATTTTATTTCCCCCCCATAAGGGAAGCTCTAAAATTGCACTGCCTCCTCTTCCGGTAAAAATGCAGAAGCCTGTACCAGTGTTTTAAGCAATGCTTAGAGTCAGGCAAGTATACATCCTCTCACATAAAATATCCTTTGGCTTCATCCTAACATATTTCAAAATAGTTTAAAGGAAGAAAAGGTTTCCAAATCCTTGTAAACAAGCCATAAGCACTGTCAAATACCAGTCTTTTAGCTAATTATAGACTAATTCTTGGAAATAATGCAACCCTGGTCTGATGAAATCTGTTTCATTAAGAAGATGCTTTTGTGTAGTATTGGAGCTGCTCTTCCAGCTAGCTGAGAACACAGTGACAGTTACAGGACTTTTATCATGAGCATCCACTATAAACTCCAGTGTTACCCCAGGGATCTTGTGTGCTCTCCTGCCCCTGAAGAAGGTGGTTTCTGCTGGGAGC